TGAACTTGCTTCACAATCCTACTAAAGCAACTGTCATCACCCCACACAACACTCTGTCGACTCTCTCAGGCCTGGCTGGACGCAGTCAGGACCAGCCCTGGTTTTGCCAGGAGCCACTACCACCTGAGACAGCAACTCAGAGGCCTGTGTACAATAAAACCCTAATTCTGGTGACTCTTGCCTTTGCCCTCCAACCTGGGATTCGACCTGATGATTGTAGTGATCTAGGCACAACAACCACACAGACCCCTACAGACTCTAAGGTAAACAGGACTGGCTATAAACTGATTGCAACAACAGGTATATCCGCGGAAGTACTTTTAATGAAATCTCTTTTTCTTTATGAGGACATCAAAAATTAACAGAATAAATGTATACTACTTAAGTAGACATTTTGAGCGAGCCTGCCATTTGCAGGCGGTCAAAAAAGTGTATTCAAAAGAGGGTATCATGAATTCTTCGAAATATTATGGGATTAGGCTGCAGGAGAATCTGTTTTGCAATACCAAGCTTTCTTAGTCAAAAATGCATTTCGGAATTCTGGTTAATGCGTAATCAGATCAGCTACTTGCTTCACTCTGTGCCAGTGTGGCCTGCCTTAGAGATATTCTTTCCTGTTTCCCAATTCAGGCCATACACCAGGCTGCACGACCTTTGTGTTGCATTCCGCTGGTGCGGCATTCACTGGAGACGCCTTGTTTGTCCGTGGTTGCGGTCGGACCGACTTCCAGGAGGGTTCCGCGGAGCAGCTCTACGACTCTGTTCATTCCAAGATCCTTTCTTTGCCCAGAAATTACTTTCTATTCCCAGGACATGACTACACCGGTCGCATGATGACCACTGTGGACGAAGAACTGAGACTTAACCCCAGGTAAACCAACCAATGAGAGCGCCTCGTCTTCCCTGACCTCATCCACATACAGTAGGTATGCGGTCACCTGAAATTTGTACTCGATTTGAAGGAAGCACAGTAGGCGACTTAATTCATGCCAAATTGTGATCGAAATACGAGATGAAAGTTCTATGTACACCTATTCTTGCTACTCTAAGCTTTTGACTTGATCTGATGCTCAGAAGGCCTTTAGTAAAAAAAACTGCAGATTAGTTCTGTATGTTGATGAAAAAGCGGAGTGGTTGCTCTATTTGCAGGACATTTTCTGTGCTCTTTAATATACAAAAAATGGTATTTTCGCATTTTTACGTGGCTTTTATATTTAGATTTATTGGTTACATTTACTACGATTTTTAACTTTTCCAACATCTCAGGTTTCTTTTAAAAAATTGGTATTTCAAAACAAAGTAATAGTACTTTTTACACTTAATTTAAACTTTAAATTCGGCCAAGGTAGCTCATTTGGATTTCACAGTTTTTATACACTTAATAATACAAATTTGCGCATGCGTATCAAACTTTCGCAAATCTCGGTTTTTGTATTAGATAGATCCCATCGTATATGTAAGTAAGGTTGTCAGTTTAGCTATAGTGCAGCATAATCCCATGATATTTCAGTTTCGGATTCCATTTTCGGAAAAAAGATTACGTCCAGGCACCTAGAAAAACCTCATGCTGTTTAAGTTATCTGATAATCTTCCAATGTGAATGCCCATCTATATTCAAACAGGTCTCACTGGAGAAATGCATTAATATGCATGTCATTGAAAACGGCGTCTAGTTCTAATTGTATGTTTGAGGAAACGGTATCTTTCAGTTATGTGACTTTCTGACGCCCTGAATGTTCCATAAGTGTTCGTTTCTGTCCATTTATGAATGTTGCCTATAATTTATACAAAATGGTAGTAAATATGCGATATCTAAGAGGGTAAACCAACATATCGAGAGCATTTTCAGGAAGAGGTTGATCATGTGCCTGACGTCTCGGCTAGTTTTTTCGTCTATCTACCTTTAGCTACTTAAAATTTAGGGTCGGAGTTCTCTTTATATGCAGCTCTTTTCCGTGTACGTAGCCTACCAATACCGGCTTTGTCGTAGCTGTCACGCCCCGTTGACTGCCCGTAGTGCTGCTACGGCCCCAAGACACAATTGTTTGTTTAGGTGTCGGCGACCGTACCACGTGGGGGAGAGAGTGAGGTCGGCCCTCAGGGCATTTCAATCCTCAATATAATCAATCTGATGCGCTTGAAGCTATCGTTGTGCGCTAAAAGCCGTGGAGGTTTGGAGGGTTGCGAACTGGGGGGGATTGCTCGAATCGCACAGTCGACCCAGTGTGTCTTGTTGTTAGGTGTGGCTGGCTGCGGGCTGAGAGTCACGCCGCAATAGCTCCAACTTAATCTGGCCTTTACAGCGCTCCTAGATGGGAGCCTATCTAGCGAGGCATGCTGTTG